TGGTGATGCAATCAAATGTTCACACATTGGTCGTAATTGTCCATATTTAAAACAGATATCACTTGATAAAGCTGCTTCTAAACGTTGATCTAAAGCTTCAATAGATGACCCAATATGTTGATAAGAATTTATTAATAAACGTGAAAGAAATGGTGTTGACTGCGATGAATGTTCTGATGAACAATAACCATAACGTTGACAATATGTTTGTGAATGAATTTGATCTATTTGATTTAATGATTGTTGTTGTGCTGATTGAACAATCGAACGACAATCATCATCAGTACATAAAGAAAGAAGTGCAGTTGTTACTTCATTAACCGTTGTTCGAAAACGATATTGACGAGAATCAAGACGTTTTGTACAACATTTACATTTATCACCATCTATTTGACACTAAGATTTAAAAAAAGAATCATATTACATTTTATTTTTACATACAATGCAACTTTATATTTACTTCATGATTCTTTATTTGTTGTTCAATAGAACAATAACCAATTTGTTTACAATAATTTGTTGGTATATGTTGATCAACTTTGGATTTCATTCGATCACATACACGATTATACCATGAAATACAATAATCTTTTGATAAACTCCAATCACAACTAGCTAAAAGTCCACTTCGTAATGTTTCCTAAAAAACAAGAGGACAAAAAAAAAAGAATTTAATTCATTTTTTGTTTTTATGAAAACAAAAATTCATACAATCATTTGTAAATCATAATTCTTTTTTGTTGTATAAAATTCCACACAACAACCACAATTATCTTTACAATTATCTAATTTAAATGATTGTTTACAATCTAATGATTGATGTTCAGAATCAAGTTCACATAATTCTTTTTCTACATGTCCATTTTGATTAAACATTGATTTAAATAAAGCTTCCATGCGTAAACTATTTTCATTTGATTCAACAAGTTGTTTACATAATTTTTCAAATGGACTATTTTTAATACAAACTAAATCAATTAATGATTGACCTGATGTACAAATTGTTTCACTATTTAATTGTGAAACTTTGTTATTAACATCTAATGTTGAACGATCAATAATTGAATAACAATCTTTGTTCCACTAAAATACAATAAAATAATTCATTTTCTTTCAGAAAGATTTTATTTTGAATAAATTTTTACTGGAATATATTCGCAAAGTGATTTAAGATTTTGATTTATTGTTGATATTGAAGAAAGAAGAAATTTCTTTTTAGATTCAATTCGTGTTTGACATTCAGCTAAACTTTCAACCTATTGATTTGATAGAAATAATAATATATAATAAAAATCAAACATACAAAAATAATAATAAAAAAAAAAGCAAAGACTTACTTCAACAGGAAGTTTTGAACAATGATTCAAAATTTGACAAACTCGTTTAGCATTCTATTTAAAAATAAAAATAAAAAAAAAAACAATAATGAATTGTTTGTCTTAAGATCATAATGATTTATCTGAGATAACAAATGTGAAAACTGGTACTCGAAGGCAGTTCATCTAACAGAAAGTGATACAACAAACATAATGTAAAAAGAAGGAAGATCTAGCGTATCGCAGTCTCTTCAACATCGAGACTTACTATGATAACAAGAAATAAGCTGTCCGCTCATGTTTGTAGAGAAAGCTTAGATTCTTTTTTAAGCAGAATTTCATCATTTGTAGGTTGAGCTTAAGACTGCCTGAAAAAAAAAGAGTCAACTTCCGTTAGTAATACAAACATTGAGATGAATGCGTAGGATGCAAGCTCGAGATCTAGTCTTTCATAAATGACATGATTGTTTATTTGGCATCTGGTTTTTTTCTTTTTCAAAAAAACTTTTCGCCATGTTCTGTTTGAATAACATCTTTTTTCTTTAGAGAAAGCGGACTTTTGTTTTGTTTATGATTTTTCGATTGCATATCTCGGAATTCTGTAAGGCGGCGCTTCATTAAAGCCTATGCGTTTTTTTTTTGTTTGAACGAGCATGAAAAAGATATAGAGTATAGCAGAGTTCTTGTATAATTAGAAAGTCATGTTTTTTTTTTTGAGTTTTTCGAGACATAAACAAAAGTGTACAGCCTGAACGCTTCTAGAGAATTTTGGATTACTCAATTCATTATTTTGTGCCCTGTTTATTAAATATCTCTCTCGAGCATCATGATATAAGATTGAAAATTTGGTGTGATTTCAATATAGCTTGTCCAAAACAGGATCAAATTTTGGGATTGAGACTTTAAAATTGTTCTAGAGTAGACTACTCAAATATCACATATTCTGTATACTAAAGTTTCTTGAATGAAATCTTAGATCAAAAATCTTGCTAGTTTTTATACTTCAAACAAGATTATTCAAAAATCACAAGCATGATTAGTCATAACTTACAAAACGTGATGTAATTTGATTAACATTTGAATCAAATTTTGTAGTCATTTCAAGACACTAACAAAAAAATCATAAAAATTTCTTCATATTATTATTGTTAATAATCATACTTTATCAGATTTTGGCATACGTTGACATAAAGTTTTTATATTTTCAACAATTGATCGCTTTAAAAATAAAATTAAAAAAAAAAATGTCTATAAATCAAAAAAAAATATTATTCAATCTTTACCAAAAATGTAGTAATTTGTACTTCATGAATTTCAATTTTATCCAAACAACATTCACATTTATCATTACACTAAATAAAACAATTTGTCAAAAACTAATATTTTCTTTTATTCAAAACATACATTTTCAAATGCAGAACTTTCCGGACATATACCCATTGTAGCACATGCTTTTTTTGGATCAATATCTTTTGATATCATTGTTAAAATAGCTGGTCCTTCAGCATCGATTGCTTTATTACACTAAAAATAAAAATTTTCAACAATTTATCTATTATTGAAAAATAAAAACTCATACCAATTCTGTAAATGCTTCAAGTTTAGAGCAAACTTCAACTTTAATATATTGAATAATTTCTTGCTAAAAAAGAAAAAAAACAAACGATCGATTTAACTTCTGTCAATGAAATTTATTCAATGTCAAAATAGCATTCTTTTTTTCTTAAAACTATAATCAATAAATGTTGTCGATATCAAAATCTACCTCCGTTGTATTTGTTGTAAGTGCTTTTTTTATACTACCAAATGCCAATTTGCATAGAGTACAATTGAGTGTATCTCTCGTTAAAGATGATATTAACTAACAATGAAATGAAAATTAAATAAATCTAAAACTATACTTACATTCATTACATCATCTGTTGAACTAATTCGAATTGGTTCAATTGTTTCTAACATTGTTGAATTACAATAATTTAATTTTATACAAATATCTTGTGGATCCTTAAAAAAAAATAAAAAGTTGCAAATTTTTTTTATTTTGTTGAATTTAACGAATATTTACCAATGTTCGAATGAAATTTACAAGTTCATTTATTGAATCATCAACTGCTTTTAGACACTTAAAAAAAAACAAAAGAAAAATGATTTCAAAAAAAAAAGAAAAAAAACATACATCATCTTTGTCAGGTAATTGTCCACAGAGATGATGAAGAAATTCCGATGAATGATTCTTAAAACAAAAAACAATTTAATACCAAATACAAAAGAAATATTTATATAATATACCACAAGTTTTTCAGCAATATGTTTTCGTCTTGTAAAATCATCAATACATCGTTGACATTTATTTTTATCCTAATATATATATATATACATATCAATACGTTTTAATTAAAAATCAAATCAAAATTTTACATCATTAACAGCCAAATTATCAAGAAATGACATTTTCTTTGGACACATTCCAAATATACGACAAAGTACATCACCTTCCTATAAAGAAAAATATACATATAAGATAATAGGAACATATTTAATGACAACGTATTTTCTAATAGTTAATCAAGAGTGTATGGCAAGGTTTCTAAAAAGAACTTGGCATAGAAGTTTTTAAGTCCTAGAAGACTTTGTCGGAATTATTTTTCAGCAATACTATCATAAACAAAATAGATTGAAGGATCACCACGTTTTCTAAGACCTTCAGTTTCTTTTGAAAACTTTGCCATTATAGTTCATCTATGAAATTTTGCTCTTGAATGCATTAAACAGAAAACTCGATTTGCTATTAAAATCACTATCAAAATTTAAGCTAGCTGTGGTCAACATTATATAGTATTTTATGCTAGCGTTCAATATCGAATCCAGGAAAAAAATTTATTAGTCTCTAGATATATATGAAATTTCAATCCTCATTGGTGTGTTGTGTTAAAACTTTGGTATTTCAGATAATACAATTGTCGATGGAGAAATAATGAAATTAGAAAAAAGTTTCTACAAAAGAACAGCCTTTATGAATAGGTATTCAAGTCGAAATTTGATTTTTTTTGTTTTCATTGATGATTGTAATATCTGAAATACTATCGTTTCAATATTATTCACCAACAAGAACTCGAACCCAATATCTATCCACAGAGTAATCGAGGTTTAAAAACAAAACTTCTACTCCAATTCGACATAGAACGCTATCGAAAAAAAAATATAAACAAACATACCATATCATTAGCAAGTGTACGCATAAGACCATTAGCATCTTTTTCGACAAATGCATTACACTAGAACAAGATATTAGATAAATGATTATTAATTATATAAAAAAAATTCTTACAGCATCTTTAAATGTTCCAAGATTTTCGCAAATATTTTCTTTAAGAAATGAATTGATTTCATTCTAAAATAATATATTTATATTAAATAATTATCAATTGATATTTTTCTTTACTTTTTCTATTGAACTTGTTTTATCAAGAACTTGATCAATACAAACTTGAAAACGAGTACAAAGAAGCATTGATTTCTAAAAGATGAAAATTTAATGCAAACAAAAAGCCAAAAAATATTATTATTTTTTTTCCTTTTAGATCTTACCGTTTCACATTGAATACTATTGATTAAATCTTTTCCATTATTTTCAATTATATTCTTACAATTTTTCTTTGCTATACCAGTAAAACGTGAACATATTTGTTCATCAATATAAAGAAGTACTTTATCCTTTTATAAAAAAGAAAATTGATTAGTTTTTTGTTTTAAATCTATCAAATTAATTTTCTTACTTCTGATTGTTTAGCATCAAGCATATATTTTGATGTTTTTAAAACAAATGTACATAATTCACAATGTACATTTGGAAGAGACTAATAAACAAAAAAAAAAAAAAAATAATATCTTTTAAAAAATTCTAATATGTATTTTCTTACTTGAAGAGCAGAATGATCAATAAAATTATCCATATAATCACAAACTTTTGATAATTCCTATATAAAGAATAAATTATTATATTTATTTATTTTTTGTTCTTTTTATTACTTACAATATTACTTGTAACATGTCCATATATATCAATACCATGTTGTTCAACTAAATCTTCACACTAGATTAAAATAAAATTGATTTATTTTCTTTTTTCAATATTACAAAAAAAAAAAAGAATTTTTCTTTTACCTTTCGTATAAGTTCGTCTGTTGATAATTTTTGACAATCATCTTTTAAAAATATTTGAATTTCATCTCGATCTTTATGTTGATTAATATGAAGATCATGTGTAGCACGAACAATAACATTACATAACATTTTTGATTGTTCATCAATAGGTATTTCACTTATTTGATTATTGTCAAAATTTACAATAGGTTTTTCTTCTGGTTTATTATTGTTAATTTCCACTCGAGTTATAATTGTTGCTTCTTTACACATATGTGCCAAATGACAGATTACGCCAGGATCCTAGGTTATGTATTTTTTTTTTTTGTAAATATTATTATAGTTAATTAAATAAAATTATAATTTATTAACTTACAATATTAGTTTTAATTAAAGTAAGAATTTCTCTTGCATATTGACTCATCATTTCTACACACTATAAAGGGATATTAATTTTTATCTTTAAAAAAAAAATTCTTTTGATTTTCTTACTTCATCAATCGATTCTTTTGTTGGTAACATTGAACAAGCGCCAGATAACCATTTTTCGACACTCATCTATACAATATTAAAAAGAAAAAATAGAATTGTGAATGTCATTTCTTCAATAGTATTGAAAAAAAAAATGAATGCTTTAAATATTACTGTTGTTACTAATCCATGAAATTCATCAAGTATCAGAGTGTTACATTTGCGGATATATTATGTTACAAGAGAACGCTCCGTTGAAGCGCGTAATAGGTCTACACAGACGCATGGCCAAGATTCGTAGAAGGTTTGTTCACGTGGGTTTTTGAGATCGTATTATGATTATTGTCCTGAATTTTCGACTCAATTTTAAATATATACTGAAAAATCAAAGTGCGAAATTTCGACATAAAATTTTGGTCATAAGTAGATGTAATGATCCTGTATCATGTCTATGACAATTCTTTTTGGTTTAAGTAATTAGAACATTCTACCATTAATAAAATCTATCTATCATCGAAATTTTGCTTTTTGACTTTTCAATATATATACTCAAAGCTGAGTTGAAAATTCAATAAAACAATCCTAGCTAGGTTTTAAAGGTTCATATTCACTTCTGATGGTTTTCTCATACATCTATAGGTTTCTTTTTCATTAATTTTTTATAAGTTACAACAAATTTTATTTTAGAATTCAAGTGTATGATTGTCTGTTAAGAAATAGAAAATCTCGATCTATATTATAATACTTCTTTTAGTTCGTGTTTCATAAAAAAAAGTTAAATTTTTATAAATGAACATACTTCGATTTTTTCATTTTCGACAAGAGTACGTAATTTTTGAATAGTAAATTCACAATATTGACAAATATTATCATTTGGTTTCTTTTCGATTGATTGTTGTGACCAAATTTTATTTGAACAATGATCTGTTGCACTACATTCACGTGAATTACTTAATGATGAACACCAATATGATGGACCCCATGTACATCGTTTTTGTCCAAGAATCGCTATATATATATATATATTCAATAAATATTTATTCTAAAATAAATACATTGATTATTTACTTGGTTTTTCCGTCGTTGAAGGTTCTGTTACTGGTTCATTCGAACAAATACTCATCAAATAACATAATGTAGCATAACGCTGAAAAAAAAACAAATATTACGAAATAATTTCGTTGAATTTCTTTTTTACTTTATTTTTCATTAGTGAAGCAACTGATATTCCATAATGTTCAACTACATTTGTGCACTATAAATAAAAGACAAAAAAATTCAATCATGAAAATATTTATTTTACTATTTTTTTTTTATATATACTTTTGATGAAACACTTGACAATGGAAATAATTTACATCCATTCATTAATGATGATATAATTAAATCCTATAATAAATAATAATAATTTTTCTTATTAGATTTTTTTATTTTCAATATAAATAATTAACCTCATTATTAGTCAAATGTTGAATGCCTTTGTGAGTATTTTCAAGAATTTTTTGACACCATTCACATGTTGTTGATGAATCAACTTTTGTATATTTTTCATCATAACGCCAAACTGTATCGGTACAATGACGTAATGCACCACAATCTTGAGCATTTTCAAATGATTTACACCAATATGCAGGACCAACAGCACATTCTTCTTTATATGCCAATGATGCCGTAATAAAACAGGCTAAAATATTTTAAAAAGAGAAAAAATTTCATTTTCAATTTTTTTTTCTAACAAATAAATATATTTACCAATAATATAAATGACAAAGACGGCTTTCGCCATGATGTCACACAATATAATCAAAATAGAAAAGAAACGTAAATATTTATCTGAAATAAATTAAATAAACTAGATTGTACTTGATGACTAACTTATATTTAACAAAATATAAATCATTGTTAAATAAAAATTATTCAAATGATTCCATGTTAATTTATATATATATATCTGAACAAATAAATAGAATATTGCATTAATTTTAAAATATTTAAAAATAAATCTATTTGTGATATGTTATCTGATATGAATGATAAGATAAAAACAAAACATGAGATATTAAGATGAAGAATTTCATGTATTTTATTTGTTATCCTTACAATGAGCAACGACATAACAATGATAAAAAGATAACACTTACAATGATATCGAACTATTATTATTCAATGCTTTTTTTACATGGTTTTGTCATGGTTGAAAGAGCAATATTGTTTACTATGGATGAAAACCGATGAGTAAAAGAAAAAAAACAAGTGATGACTTTAACAGTCAATAGAAAATAAGTATACTTTTTTTATCTGAATTAAATATATATTCGATCTATGTCTAACAACCGTTCGAAATTTGATCCAAATAAAAAACAATAATAGTTTCTTTTTTTTTAAGAGTAACGCAATAAGAAATCAATCATCACGAATAAAAAGTACGATAGCAAAGTAAGTATATATCGATTGTAGTGACGCGACAACTAGCAGCTGCTGATCATAAAAAAAAAGAGAGATGAGTCATTTATTGAAAGTAGACAAATAAGTAAATTTTACAAACTTGAATAATAATTTCTTCTATTTCAAATGTTCGATCATGTGATAAATTAAAAAAAATTAATCACCGTATAAGATAGATGTCGCTAGTGATATAGATATTTTGAGAAAGATCGAGATTTTTTACTATATGCTTCGGTTAAGAATCTGTTTGATAAATATCATATTTATAAAAATAAAATAAATGTATTCATCATCGAAGTGAATCGATTTTTGAATTTAAATAATATTTAATTTTTGCATCTTACTCACCTGTTTGTTAAAAAAAAATAATCAATAAATATCATTTAGCACTATTATGTCCATCTGTTGATATCAGAGTGTAACTATGCGCATTTTTTGCATCTGTTTTATCTTTTTTTTTTATTGCTAAAGAGTCAATCGTTGGTCATATGTTACTTTTTTCTTCTTCAACATAGTAAAAGACGCAGAAGAAAAGAAGAAAGTAATTGGTTGCATGATATGTAAAAAACAGTAATGCAGTCGACACAAGAAAAAAAAAACAGAAAAGAAAGTGTATTGAATTTTTCATATTCGATTTACTCATAGACTACCAGTCATATGTGTTTGCTCATAGAAAAGTGAAATCACTCAGTTTCAAAAAAAAAAAAAAGAGTTCGCTATTTGCTCATGTAAAATAAGTCAAAGCTGATGTCAGTCAAATTCAAGTTCATAAATCCATGTTGTATATATATTTTTTCTATATATATGATAAGGTGTTCTCAAGTATCAATGAAGTAGCTTCGAGAAATTTTTTAATAATTTTATTCTTTATATGTTACTATTTTTGGAAAAAAACGAATACTATCGTTTCGTACAAATGAATATAAATATGTATCAAATTTACTTGTTTGAATTTATGTTTCCATAGAAAAGACTTGATGCATAGTATTTGTTATATTTTCTAGAATATTGAAATTCTGTGTCTACTTGTAACTGAAGCTTTGTCTCTTTTTTTTTTGTTCTGAATATTATATATTATTTATAAGATGAGATTAAATATTATAGTTTCCAAAAACATAAGATAAAACCATTGTGTCTATTGCATGAGTATGATTTATTTTTCAGCAGGTAAAAAAAGTTTTTCTCTTATCTGTCTGCATATCAGTGATTGTGCTGCAGGTTCTTTTGACTTTCTAAAAGGGCATACAGTGTTTTCGTAAATATATATGTTTGCTTACAATTAACAATAAATTTCTATTATATTATTTTAATTTTCTGTCATTCTTCACTGATGTCTAGAATCATTCTCAGTCTTTATTTTTTCTTTTGAAGTTTTATCACACGTCGTTTATGTTGAAACCTTTTATCTCGTCATTGAATATTACGAAAACGAGTATCCTTGTTTTCATTGAAAAACTACATGGAACAAAATGTTCAGTAATAAGAAGAGAATCTCGTTGATTCTGATTGAAGAAAAGAATACTTTTCCCCTTACTTACATGAATATAATCAGTTTATCAAAAAACAAAATAAAATGAAAAATATGTTCTAGGATGATTGATTTTACATCATCTTCTTCATAACAATAGTTTAATTAGAATTATTTTTGAGAATTTGTTTTGCTTAACATAGAAAAATATAAACATGATGATTGATTAATAGATTTTAACAATCAAAGAATATTGATTTCAAAATGCTCATCACACTTGTATTTATTAGATATACAGTTCGATGTTATCTAACTTAGAATTGTACTGATTATACCAACTGTTGATAAGCATGAAAAACTACTGAATTTTGTCCTCTTATCATATATAACATATTTGAAATGCACTCGAACAGAACAATCGTTCACCAAAGTGAGACGTTCTTTACAAGACAGGTGTTGTCTGTATGCTTAATCTTTGTATTCAACAGTGAAATAACTGTCGAAATTTATAAAATCATTGAAAGACAATTTGCTTGCACTAATTATATATATATTATATTTTTTCACTGTTTCTGAAAACAGTTTAGCCGATTAAAAACGATTTCACATATTGTTTACCCTTAATGTTAGTTAAGAACAGTGGATTTTCATCAGAACATTGTCCTTTAGATGCTCATCACACATAGAAATTAGTTAATTTCTATCATGATTTTATTTTCAAAAAACTCTACCTGACAATTTAATGTAACTAATTGAGTCGAATGGAGAAATGTGTCAATAAGATCAAATTGATGCAACACATGCTTCGATTTGTTCATGAATCAAATTTGTTATTATCTGATGTTCAATAATTATCGATGAACACCTAAAAACAAATCATATAGAATATCAATTAACGGCATTGAAGAATTAGTTATTGCCATTAAGCTTTTCTCTTGACATATAATAAATAAAGTAAATAGAATATCAAATCTTAATCATGTCAAACAATGAAATAATTATATTAATAAATGTGTCAACTATCATTAGGTGCAGCGCAACTAGGATGATAGGAGGGTTATGCCCTTGTTCTGGGAAATCATGACTAGGATTTTTCCGAATTTGAAATTTTTTGTCAATCAATTTGCTTCAAGTTTGTGGAGCATACTAAGCAATTTCTTCCGATTTTGGGTCGATCTGTCTGCTCCAATTTCTACACGTCGTCTCTGACTCTGATAGAATACATGTTTCTCCTGAAACAATAACAATAAAGACTATTTCAAAATTCAATTAATAAAATAGGAAATGCTTATGTAATGAATAGCGTAAACTAAATTTATTTCACAGATATGGAAATATCAATGAATTTTCTTTTATAAATAAAGTAATCAAATATGTTTCATGCTTCTTGCTAATAAGAAATAATAGAATCAACGCTATTTTCTTAAAATTGAAATGAAAACTTATTCTTTTTCATTCATTCTTTATTACATTCTTAAATAGAGCTTGAGCATTGTCCATCAATGAAGAAAAAAAAAGAAATTTTACCAAGATTAATTTTGAAAATGAAACAAACAGGTTATTCAAATTCATCAACAATATTTAATAATAAATGAGAAGAAAGTCAAGTTAGAATGAAAATGTTCATCTTATAAACAAAAAGACTTCATTTGATTACTAATTAACACTTTTTCAATAATATTGATTGTTGAATGGATTGATACATTAAGTTTCAAATTTGAATTTATTTGGTCTTCCCAACCAATACAATTCAATCGAATGCCACGCTACAACTAATTTGAAATTCGTTAATATCATCATACTCAGAAGTTTCGTTTGTTCATTATTTTGTTCTTTCTTGCAGTCTGTCGAATAGTTCTATACGTGGTACAAAGAAATTCCTCTTTATGAAATACAAGCAACGTTATGAAGATCTTTTATTCACATCACATATCCATCATTTAGACATGTATTGGTTGCCTTATTGTTGAGCATGGTCCCATTGTGTTATCAACTAGAAGGAGTTTCTCTGCACACGCACGAGCACTTATTCGTTTAAATAAAACAAAACAAGAACTGCTCCTCTCTCTTTCTTATATTTATTCTTTTGAACAATATAAAAATCAATAAGATTTTCTTTTTTTATATATCCGAGGTTTTTTCTATATAATTGAACGTGTGAATAGTTTGTAGATAGTGAATGTTTTACTATTTTACATGTACATTCACAATACAGATGTGGATTCGAATAATCACCCATATTTGAGTACAGCAAACCGATGCTATTGCAAGATCCAATCAGAGAAGGATGCTTTGAAAGAAGAGTTTTTTGACCGATTTCCAGTGATTTTTGATGAGATGAAAGCGTCTTCGAATAGTCACCCATGTTGTTATACACTACACTGGTGTTGTTGTAAGAAGCAGCCAAACTCGGATGATTCGAAGGGAGAGTTTTTTCGAATGTTTCCAGTGCTTTCTGATACGATGAAAGCGTATTCGAATAGTCAACCATCTTGGAATACACCAAACCGATGTTGTTGCAGGAAGCGGCTAAATTGCCATCTACTAGAGAGAGAATATTCTGTTGGATTTCAAGCCATTGTCTATAATATGCAATGGCATCTGCATATTCACCCAGATTATTCTTGAACCATACGAGCATATGATAAATAATGGCTTTTTCACGATCGATTGTTGTTTGAACAAGAAGAATATCATATACTTCTTGGTCATTCTTAATATGCTCACGTTTAATCAGTAAGTTACCCAAACTATCCCATTCTTTCGTCTGAGAATAGGGGTCATTGCACACCTGCTCAATAAGTGCATGGAATTCCGGTTCTTTGTCACTGGTCAGTGTTACATCGACTCGCCACAAGCGATTATTTCCATCGATTTGTGTCATTGGTTTAATATGAAAGATGGAATACATGGAGAAGAGAATTTCTTCTTCGCCTTTGTAATAACTGATATCACGGACGTTAGCAAATGGTGTTGACACGATAGATGGATCAATTTTCTTGATGAATAAAATGTCAATGAAGTAGAACAATTCCATAGCTTCACGAGCAAAGTTGAGAGATACGATATGTTTTGTACTAGTCGATAAAAGATCATTAAATAATAAGAGTTCATCTTTGATTTTGATCAATGGATCAAAGTCAGTCTTCAGGAGTCCTTGACCACGACAAACGGTAAATATAGTTGAAGACGAATGTTTTATAAGGTGTTGACCATGAAGCTTGGTAATGTGCTTGTGGCAATCCCACATGAAAAGTCCCATACTAATGATAAGATCTATTTCGATCGTGTGTAAAGATCTGTTTAATATTGGACAGAGAAAATATCGACATGTATACCACCAAATCGGGAGACGCTTGTAGTATTCTTGTTTGATTTTGTTAATACAATGAAGATCTTCAGAATTTCCATTGAAAATTTGACAACAATATGACATAAATTCATCGACATATTGTTGAAAACTAATCATTAGCAAGATTTCTTTTGATAATTGTGCGCATATAAATGCTTGATCTAAATGATCTAGATTTTGTTTTATTTTTCCACTGCCAGTGTCTACAACACTAGTAGCAAACAAATTTCGATCGTATTTTTGGACAGCTAGTTTAAGTTCTTTACAGATTGGTAAAATGTCCGTAAAGACGCCATTTACTTTTGACCATTTCTTGACCCAAAGTTCATGCCGAGCTTTGTTTTCACAAAAAATATAAATGCAAATAATTTGGGACATATTATGAATGATAGGTACAGTTGTTTGTCCTAAAGCACCAGACGAAATGATAATCACTTGTTCATTCTCAATGCTTCTAATAAAATCGATACATTCATTCACATCAGTGAATAGATGTATCTTGTTCACTACTTGTTTTAATTTGTGGGTGGTATTAATACAATCGCTGTTGTTCATCTCATCGATGTTGGCATCGAGCCAAACCAATCGAAAGTTTTGAACGATGCGAGCATAAGGAGACCATCGTATACTTTTGATTGTATGTTCAGGTGACGTGGTAGACGCAGTAGCAGCAGTTGTTGCTGCTCTCGGCTTCTTCTGTGTGTCCATCGTTTATGTCATGTTTCATCAATGAAAAGAATAATATGAAATGACTTGCATTTATATAGTATGTCGAAGTTTTTTTTTTTTTCTAGATGTTTCTATTTGTTTTCGATTCTGGTTGTTCTTCAAGAAGTGCTTTACTTTTTTTTTCTTTTATGTTCTCACCTGTAGTGTGACAAGAAGGCGACCGAATGAAAAAGAAAAAATTACAACACCATACCATGTATTGCGCCCTTTTACGTAACTTTTTAGTGTCTGCAGGCTTTTTCTCTCCTTTCAATTATGTTGTCATATATGTAATTTATACATAGAAACAGAGTACTGCACAAGGTTGTTAAAAAATTTATAACGAATACTTATCTCAATCGTTTTTTTTTCTTCTACTCAGTCCAAAACTCAGTATCATCAAAAGCTAACGAAAAAATATTTCAATGATTTTTGTTTTTGCTACTATTAGTTTTTAAATGAAAATCCAATCAACTGTAACATTTGATACAAAAAACTGTTTTTTTTTGCATCAATATTCTTAAACCATTCTCAAAGAAAAACTAAAAGAATCTATCATCATTAATTTTTTTTTAAAGACAAGAAAAAATCTCTATAATATTTTTCTATGATTACTGTGTTATGTTTTTGTGTTCTATATCATGTTTCGAAATAAATTCATTTTTTATATTCACTCCGAGATATTATCTTGAGAATATATTGCAACCAAATCCTTGATTTAAAAATTAGAGTATAAACAATTCAATGAATGTTATTTCGATTATTTTTCTATACTCAAGTAAAAGCAACACTTAATAAGAAAAAAAATCAAATTGTTTCTTTACTTGATGAAAATAGCTTTGTTTTTAGTTTACAATAAAATGTTTCACGAATGTAACTCGAATATTTTATTGAAAAATAAGTAGTATCAATGAAGTAGAAGTCATTCGTTATCAATCTAATGATAAATAACTGAACAGGCTGTTAAAAAAGTCAATGGAATATAATTTCATTTTTAATATGAATAACAGCAAGAATACGTTTAATATTATGTTTATAAAATTATATTTATCATGAAATCATCTATTTATTTTAATTTAGAATGGAAAAATCTAAAGAGAAATTCAAGTAATTAATAGAAGATTACATTAACAATACCAATTTTGAGTTTATTTTTGTTTTCTTTGATAATATACAGAGGAACAACGAAAAAAAATTCTTAAAAGAACAGCATCTACATTTTCATGCATGTTATTCGTAGTCGTTAACACAGCTCACTAACATATAGTGTGTTTCACGAAAACTGATATCTATCAGTATTTAACTTTTCCGATAAAAATGAGTAAAATTAGACACTTTTCTGTCTTATTATTATATTTAAGAGTGACAATGATACTATTATATGGGATATTGTTGTTTTTTCATATCTTTATGATCATTATTTACATTGATTGGTTATTTTATTGATAATTCCAAAAAATAAAGTTAAACAATCAACGAATTATGTTCAATAAATTCATTAATCCACAAACCATCATTTAACTTTCATGACTATTATTGATATGTTAGTCAGATGGCACATAATGCGCAAAATTTAATGTTCTATCAAGTGGTACCTATGTCAGTTGGTTTTCATAAGGCAAAAACTAAGGTATTAGCTAGGATACTTGGTTTTTGATTCTATTGTGACAGTAAGTCTCAAAAGCATTCGTCCGATGGATTATGTTGACTCTCACTGTCATGTACAGAATTCGATTCTCAAAAGAAAGAAATTAATTTAAAGACGTGCTATTAGGAAAAAATGTGTATGAAGTATCTGTACTGTTAGTATGAAATGCATGTTTGTAAGATGAGTTTAGCAATACTTTGTATCTGAAATAGTGATAGACAGTGATTGTTAGTGTATGTGTGAGTACATATGAGAGTGGATCTTGTCTTTACTGGCCCATATTCACACCTTCGAAACAAATGATTATGTTTCACTCGATAGTTTATGATAAAATACCAAAACTTCAGGCTTTGTATATACGAACATGGCAAAAAAATAGTTTTCTGTTGTATAAGAAAACCAATATATCAATCTTGTTCAATGAATCGAGCTTTATTTTTCCTTCTGCACGCAGTTTGGAATGCTTGTTCATTATGTAAAATCAATAGAGTAATGACATATTGAGTGGTATCATAACCGAATGATTAATTATGATGTGTTCACTTTCTGATATTTTTATTGTTTCAAAGTATTGGCACATTGTGGCTCTTTTAAATTGACAATCCGTTGCATTCTGTTATACATTCATAAATATATAATTTATTTATAAGCAATAGAAGTCGAAAAAATACTCATCAGAATAGTTTTTCGAGAATGACACTTTTTTTTCAAATAAAAATGCAAATTATATTCGGTAAAAGAAAAAACCTTATCTGAACAATATAGAATAGCCCTAAAAATCACATTACTGAGCAAAACTTTGACTATCAAGATTGTAAGTTGAACAAAATAAGCTATTTTTCTTATTGCTGATAAAGTAGTATTCATAGTTTATATTCATAGGACAAACATTGAGAATTTTTCTTAGAGATGTGATTGTTGACGAATTAAGAAAAAGTTTATTCCTCTGACTAAAAATATAGAACATCTATTTTTTTGACTCTATCCTTCCATATTGTTATTTATAGCTTTTTCACGCCTATCATTGTTTTCTAAAATCAATGATAATATTTCCTACAAATATTTTCGTTTGATATTGGTCTTATCAATATGAACTATGAATATTACTGAATCAATAATAAAACAATGAACATCTTGCATCAAAATACTTCGAAGACATTCAAAATTTTTATTTCTAGTACAGCGACTTTTGAGCTATTCTATTGTTTTTTAATACATCAAGTGTTTTGATTATTCTTATTTTAGACTAACTGGTTTAAGTAGATAAAAAACAAATAATGAGATGACAAAGTAACCGATGATTGCAATTAATGCAATTAATTGAATTCGTCTGCCTCCATTAGGAACTCGACGTGTAACGAATGTTGGCATTTCGCACAAATACATAGATACTAAAATTCCCATAAGTGCACCACCGCCGTGTCCTGCATGATCAATATTACCAGAGAAGTCCACATCAACAAATACACTCTGTATAAAATAAGGTATAACAAGAAGCATAATACAAAATTGAATAATTTTGTCTTTTAAATTTTCGATAGTAAAGATACGTAAAGTATTGTCAATGATACAGAAGAATAGTAAACCATAGACAGCACCTGATGCACCCGCAGATACTAGAAAAATATCAATAAATTATTTAAAATATAAAATTTTACATGGATTCATTCATATTCATTAAAGTTAATCAAGTAATAAGATATATATATCCCATTATACTCTACAACATATATTTATGCAAAATCTCCATAGTCAGACGATCGACGTGTATACTATTACTCTAATGTAAATTTATATTTTAACTCACTACATAAACGAAAATTTTTACAAGATCATATTCTCGACATAGAAAATTCAATAGAATATTTACTATAACAGGATTGTCTCTTCTTTTAAATAAATAAAATTATAAAAACGAATAATGCTAGTCACTACATACCAGTCTTTGATTTGACTAATGCACTCATAACGTTTCCACTAAAACCAAATAGTATATAACATATAGCAAATATTTTTGTACCATATTTTCTTTCTAATATAGAGCCAGCTAAGGCTTGATAGACAAGATTATTTAGAAGGTGACGTACATTTGCATGAAGAAACATCGGTGTAAAAAATCGATAAATTTGATAAGGAAAAAGAAAAGCATAACATCGAGATTTGAGTCCGGCATTGTATTCTAAACGTTCTGCTTTTGAAGAAAGAGCTTTCATACAAGGTACATATTTGGCACCCATTTTTATCCATGTATCCGATGATAAAGTTGTGCTTCGTTGAATAATATACATAAGAATAAGCATTAGAACATCGAATACGCCAACAGCAACCGTAAATATTGGTCGATGTGGTTCATGTGATGAAGATGTTACATGAACAGTTGAATCCCGTTGATCAATTTCCATGAGCACATCTCCATTAAATGTATATGTTCGAGATGCATATGGTGGAACAGGTGCACTTGAAGTTCTATTCGATGTTGTTTGTCTCTTTGGTGATTCAAATCCATCTTTAATCTTTGTCCATACGGTTTTGGTAAATGTCGACATTCTATTTGTTGTTTTCTAAAAAAGAGAAATAAATTTTTTTTATTCATGTGAAAATAAATCTTTTCTAGATTTAATATGATAAGAGAAATAGTAAAGAAACAGATTATGATAAGATGAATACATGTATGTTTTTCTCATCGTAAGTTTCATGATTAATAAACAGAAAAAAAAGGTTTTAAGAAAATATTTTGCAGATAATGTCATAGGTTATATTCATGCATAATAAATTCGATGTCTATACTAGTGTCCTGCGGGAACGACTTTTTTCCCTAATTTTCCCATTCCCAT